GGGTCTTTGGGCTTCTCGTCCCCTGGTTTCCGAGTCCTGGACTCACCTCGGTCTCCACCGGACGCTGCCGTTAGTCAAAGTGGCTTTAATCTGGGAAAACTGTTTCGGTGTCTTTGTCCGCTTCCCTTTTTAAAGAATTGTGATCACTATTAACTTGAGTTGCTGGGTTGGAGTCATTGATTCGTGCTATTTCTAGTTGAAATTTCTTTGGGGTAGAATACAGGACTCAAGAAAAATTAATGTTTTTCCGTAAAGTAGGAGTCTCACATTCGTACATAGCACAGACCCTCAAGCAGGCAACATTAGGAATAGTTTCAACGCAGTATTGCAAATGTTTAAAACAATTTTATACAATAGTTTTGGACTTTAATAGAAATGCCGAATTTAATAAATTGATGGCCAAAAAAAAAAATACCAGTTTATAGGAATGACATTAGGTCAACATTCAAATTCCCACTTTAAAGTAGTAACGTACTTTACAGTTTTTAAAGCACTTGCATAAACATCCTATCATTTGTTCCCTACAGCAATCTTGTGTGGGTGGTGGAACACGTAGTAATAATTTTATTTTACTGTTAAGGGAACAATCTCAAGTTAAATGATTGCCCAATTTATTCTTTAATTCAATAAACTCTAATGCATGCCAGATACATTGCCAGGTGTGGACTGGGTGCTTTATTTTCATTCAATTAAAATTTAAACCAGCAGAATCCCACATGAGTGGTATTTTGCCCCTATCTTGGTAGGAAGATAATATTTTTGAAAAACACGCTGCCTCATGTGCCTTATTAGGCAAAAGAGCAAAACTCTGGATTGTGCGTTAGGGAGACACATCTATTACCATTCAATCTATTAGAACTCTGGTTAAATCAATCCATCAATATATTTATTGAACGCCTACTGAGTGGAGAGTACTGTATCTGTAAATAAGGAAGATACATGACAGATAAAGACAAATTCCTGTCCTCAAGAAGCTTATGAAGAGGGGCGCCTGGGTGGCGCAGTCGGTTAAGCGTCCGACTTCAGCCAGGTCACGATCTCGCGGTCCGTGAGTTCGAGCCCCACATCGGGCTCTGGGCTGATGGCTCAGAGCCTGGAGCCTGTTTCCGATTCTGTGTCTCCCTCTCTCTCTGCCCCTCCCCCGTTCATGCTCTGTCTCTCACTGTCCCAAAAATAAATAAACGTTGAAAAAAAAAATTTAAAAAAAAAAAAGAAGCTTATGAAGAGCTCTCTAGTAATTGTAAATATCAGTGTTAAAATCAGTACAATAAACATCCAATCCCAGCATTTTGTCTGCCTGTGACAATTCTCTATTAGATTCTAAATTTGTTTTTTTTAAATGAGAGTGGAAATTCCATTATTGTGCTTTGAAAGAAAACATAACTTCATTTTAATATTTCTATTAAATTATTAAAACAGATAATAGAAAACAGGGATAAAAGAAGAGGTGTACTCAATAAAGGAGGGTAAAGGGAGGTCACCTCCAAAAACTTGGAAATTGGTCTACAGCAAGAATTAAAACTACCCAAAACCATATACAATTATTAAGATTATCTGGGGGCTTTTACATATATTTCTGGTAAAGGAAGATGAGGGTACAGCATGGTGGACCTCAACTAAAAGATGATTGTAAATAACAAGGATGAAAAAAAAGGTCTGCTTAGAGTCTAGAAAATTTTTTCAGAGAGCAAGAGTTTGACAAGAGTGAAGTTTGTACTTCAGTCATTGGAAAGAGCTCACTCTCAGGTTTCACTAGAACCTGGATTAAATCTCAAAAGATGGGCCCTTGAGTGGCTAAATTGGTTAAGTGGGTAAGCGTCCGACTCTTGGTTTTGGCTCAGGTCATGATCTTGTGGTTTGTGAGAGTGAGCCCCATCATGGGCTCTGCACTGATAGCGTGGAACCTGCTTGGGATTCTCTCTCCCCCCTTCACTCTGCTCCTCCCTCTCCGCTCCTCACATGCGCTCTCTCTTAAATAACTCTCAAAAGACTTCTCTGTTACAAAGCCATTTTGAATAAGCAACTTACTAATTGATAAGTCCAATTAACAGTTGAGCCTCCAGGGCACCTTGACACAGGAAATGGATCCCCTACATGGTAGACAAAAGTATTGTAATCACTGGAAAAATATATCAATTCTTTGTGGATTAATAAGCACTTTGGGAAGGAAGCTGGTCAATCAGGACTTCTGTGCAGCTGTCGTTCGTGACAACCAGTGAATGTCGTCCTATTTTAGGGAGGTAGAGTTGAGTGTTTGCAAGGGAGATTACAAGCAAAGTCCACCCCTGAGGGGAGGGAATGACTAGAATCCAGAGAGGGAGTCAGATCCTATTTCAAGAGGAAACAGGAGTGGGATCTGGAATTGGAACCAAGAACCTGTTCCATTGATCCACCGATCACCTATTTCTCTTTATTTCCAACGAGCTCCTCTCTCTCAGATTAGAAACCCGTCTTTCTGATCAAAAAATCAAACTAGGGGCACCTGGGTGGCTCAGTTGGTGAGCATCCAACTTCGGCTCAGGTCATGATCTCGTGGTCTGTGAGTTCGAGCCCCCCACGTCAGGCTCTGTGCTGACAGCTCTGAGCCTGGAGCCTGCTTCACATTCTGTGTTTCCCTCTCTCTCTGCCCCTCCCCCACTCATGCTCCATCTCTCTCTCTCTCTCTCTCAAAAATAAACATAAAAAAATTTTTTAAATCAAACTTTCCCTTAATGACATATTCCTCTCTAAGAAGGCAAGCTTCCTATTTCCATGTCTTGTTTCTCCTTAATTCATCAACCAACTGTGATATGTCTCTCACCTCGATGTCCACACTCACTCAATCTGCCCTGCCAACGATCCCTCCTCTCTTTGGCAAATCCAGTGGATTCTCTTGAGGTCCATTTGCTCGACATTTGTAGGATCTGACCCTGTTTCGCTCCTTCTCTTTTTTGAAACCTACTCTCTTGGCTTCTGAGCTACAACTCTCCTGGTTCTGTCCAGCTCTCAGACTATCCCTCATCTCAGCACCCTTCCCTGACCACGAGATTGGGCTGGGTACCCTTCCTTTGGGCTTTAGCCTGACCACCTCTCTGCCACTACATTTACCCTCTTATATTAAGAGAGTCTATTTATGAGCTATCTCCCCAGACAGTGGTAAACTCCAAAATAAGTTGTAAGGTCTAAAAGACAGCCAATGTCCTATTTATGTAGATTCCTACCAGGGAGCGTGAAGCCAGGTACGTTGGAGGTGACTATTTTTTTATATTCTAACTTCAGGGACAAGGCCAGATGGGCTTGTGGACGGAGCACATAGGGGTGAATAGGGAGATCTCAACCTGAAGTCCACATGGGATGGGCACCTAGGGCTTGTTCAACTCTAGATCTTTTGGCCTGCTGTACCACTTTCAAACGCCATAGGCTACTGAAGGGAGTATTTCCTAACATACTGGCTGAGCTTAAAGGTCGTAGACTTTGAGTATCCAGAGTCAAGCAAGCAGGGACAATGACTGCTGGGGGAAAGAACTTTCTGGACCTCCAAAGTTGAGGACATTATACAGTATGACAGACTTTTCACGGTACGATCACTTCTGTTAGAGGAAGTCAAGGCTACGAATAAAAGGCAGAAAACAGAATATTTGTCAATTCCCTTCGACTTTTTGATTCACTACTCTTTTTTCTCTCCCATCATTTCTTTTTGGTCTTAAAAAAATGTGCTATGTTTATCTGGCTTGCCTGTGTATATCTAATTTTAGATTGCAAGCTGTGGGGCAGAATAATGTCTTTATATGTGCAGCATCTCACTGTGGATGCCTGAGAATGTCTAATGACATCAACATCATTCAATTAACCTATAAAAATAAAATAAAATGTAAAGTACTCCAGAGAACTTGTTCACTGGAACTTCACCAGAGATTTATAAATGATTTTCAGCCATATCCAGATATATTCAGAATATATCTAGAATAATTTATAGTATTTCATGTAATGTATGACAAATAAAAGTTGACTGACC